AAAATTCTATGGCTCCCCATGCAACACTTCAGAAATCCAACAGAAGTAACATGAGCCTCTCAGACACCAACTTTCAGTATTTCAGAGCTGCTGTGTTCATTTCTAAAGCCTTGGTTTTATATTAAACTTTATTTTTAATGTTAATTTTAGTTGTACCAGACTAGAAGTTTACATTCTCTATTTCACCACAGACTTCACAGAACTTTTTTCCTCTTCCTGCCCTCTTTTCCCTCATAGTCCACTCATTGGTAGAACAGAAATTGCAATGGCCTGGCTGACTGGTTCACACCACTGTCTCCAATGATCTTGCGAATGGAGCTTGCAAAGGCGGGGGAGTAATCAAGTCTAAGTTTTCTTCTTAGCACTCTCACTGATTTGTGGATTTTGCACAAATAATTTAGTTTCTCTGAACATCATTGTGCTGCTCTCTAAAATGAAGCTCCAATGACACTCCACCTTCACATAGGGCTTGGAGATAGTACCTGTAAAGTGGGGGAGGGGGTGTATCATCTATTATTTGCTTACAGCAGCAAAAAATACCAAGGTTTATTGGCTTCAGAAATACAGTTCCCAGACACACTCCACCACATTCCCAGATGACTGCTACCTCCACCTGGTCGTGCCCCTAAATACCGGCATACATGTTGGTGTGAAAGAGATACTGATAGTTACAAGGTAGGAGAAAGCTGCACAGTGCAGCTGACTTATCCCTCTGCACGCCTTCAATCCATTTTACACAGATTGGCTCCAATTTTGCAGTGAAACATATGCCCCCCCCCCATTACACTTACATTAAATCTGAGGGTCAAAGCAAAGCATGCTATCTTTAAGAAAAATAAGTTTGAAAATAGCTCCTTCCAAATGTACTCCCTATGATTCAGTGGAAATCTCATGGCAACCCACCATGACTAGAAGATGAATTAGACATGTTCTGCAAGATACATAGATATTTATAAATTTGAAATACATGCTGTATAATCATGGAGTGGGAGAGCCTCTTATTTTAGCTAGCAGCATGGGCTTCATAAAACTAACATTATCCATATTGTCCAAAATGTTTGATGTCTTTGTCAGAATTAGTCAGTCAAATTTAGTTATTCATAATGCTCAATTGAGTTACCTTTTCACACTTGTGCACACCACTAGAAAAGTGTCTAATAGTAATAACCTCAATTCAAACTTCTGCTTTTCCTAGTTGTACAGCTAGAGGGGGGTGGGCAATAATTGTTGATGGGGGACCACTCAAAGAATATGGTAAGAGATCAAGAGCCATACTCTTTCATGCTATTGATGGAAGAGATGTGCAGTCTGGGATGAAGGTTGGGTGCGGAAAGCAACTCAGGTTAGGAGACTGGGGGCAGAAGGACTGCGAGCGGCAGGAGGGGATTCACACCTGGAGAAATGGTGTAGGATGGGATACAGGGTCTGGAAAGGGATTGTGACCTAGGGCAGGGGATCGAGGTTCAACATCTGAGAGGGGGTACAGGTGCAGAAGCAGGGGCACAAAGGTTTTGGTTTGTGACCTGGAGCAGAGAGAGCATGGGGTACCATGTGCAAGCTCTGGCCAGGACAGGATTACCACCTTAGGACCTTTGGGCAGGCTCCCTGCCTGCCACTCAAAGCAGCTGGGGCCATGTTCATTTCTGCACACCATGCAGACAGGGCTTGAGCTGCAGGGCTGTTCCATTGCTGTGTGGGCTTCCGGGCTTAGGCTGCAGCCAAGCTGTAGGACCCTGCAAGGTGGGAGGATCCCAAAGCTCAGGCTTCAGCCCTAATCCAGAAGTCTGCTCAGGAATGGAACACCCCACAACTTGGTCCCATGAGCCTGCATCAGCAGGCAGAGGCCAACCATGGCGTTTTTCTTTGCTGTGCAGACATACTTTCTGAGGGTACTCTGCAAGCTTCTTGCAGACTGTGAGCATCTCAGGCTGGGAGCTACAGTACAACACATTGGAAGGCACCCAGAGTTGCAGAACAAATGAGACTCATGTGCTTTGTCTGGACAGTGTGACCTATTTCTAACTTCCTCTCAGCCTTTATGCAAGGAATGGTGCAGTATTCCTTCTTCTCAGTATTTAACGGTCACTTAATGTACCTTTCAAACTTTCTTAAATCTTTAATTAGGAAATTTCCCAAACCAGTTCCTCTCCTCCTTTAACCTTCTGAGCACTTTCACATCCCATCCATTATGTCAAACAGATTTCCTGTCATCATAATTTTAGCTGCCAGTCACCTGTCAGATTCAAACTGATAATAGCACTTTGTCTCAGAGAGCTATAATTGCATCCTTCTAAAAGTTACATTTTATTAGATATTCCTCTTCACTTATTTCCTACTCTTGATTCGCTGCTTTAAAGTCCTTTGGTATAGTCAACAGTAGTTGACAAATACTTTGAAATAAATCATTTTAAGAAATCCAAATATCTTCTGCACCCTCTAAGTCATCGGTCACCAACCAGTAGATTGGGATCTACTAGTAGATCTTGAAGCCACTGACAGGTGATCCTGACAGGTTTGGCCAAGAGGCGATCAAGTGCCAGTACTTCAGCTGCCCCTCCCCATACTGCTGCGCGCCTCCTGCCCTTTGCCTTGGAGCTGCCTCTCTCTGGGAGCCTCCTGCTTGTGGTGCAGAACAGGGAAGGCAGAGGAGGGGTTGCTGATGTCAGGGTGCCCTCCCCCCTCCACCTTGTAGTCTATCTCCACAGAATGGAAGGGGAATTACAACTGGGCTTGGGACGGGGGGCGTTTACTGGCTGCTTTTGAGAGTGGGCAGGGCAAGGGTAGGGATGAGCCTGCCTTATCCCCACTGCACCACCTCCCAGGATCCACCTGAGGTAAGCAGTGTCCAGCTGGAGACAGCTCCGAACCCCTGCCCCAGTCATGAACCCCCTTTTACATCCCAAGTCCATGCCCTACCCCTGAGCCCCCTGGACCCAAACTCCTTTACATAACCTGCACCCTAAACCCCCACCTGCATCCCAAACCCCTGCCCCAGGCTTAGCTCAGAGCACCTCTCATACTCCAAATCCCTTAGCCCAAGACCAGAGCCTGTGTCCCAACCCTCTGCCCCTGCCTGGTGAAAGGGAGGGAAGTAGGATAGAGTGAGCAGGGATAGGACCTCAGAGATGGAGCACAAAGGAGGCGGGGCAAGGGTATTTGGATTTGAGGTAGATTCTGGATTGGACTTAAATTCAAAAAGTGATCGTGTGCTTAAAAAGGTTGCAGACCACTGCTGTAAGTTGTCCACAGTCATTTGAATGCTTTCACCTCAAGTCTTCTCTTCTGGACAGGATCTGCTCTAAATGCACCAATATCCCCAGTGAGATTGGGAAGAACTGTTATCTGCATTGTACACAAAGGAAACTGAGTCAGAGATTAAATTACCTACCCCACATCACACAGTATCTGTGGGATAGCAGAAATTTTATCCCGATCTCTAGTATCCCTTGTTATTATCTTAACCACAAACCTCCTTTTCACCCACGTGTATGAATTTATATCCCTGGTAAAAGCAATGCAGGACCCACCCACAAATACAGGCAGTCCCTGACTTACGCGGATCCAACTTATGTCGGATCCGCACTTACGAACGGGGCTTTCTCGCCCCGGAGGTCGAGGTGGCGGATTGCTACCTGCGAGCTCCGGG